AAGACTAATGTTACATTTCATTCCGAAGGTCACTCTATCTCTTTATTATTATTCCAAATGTGAACGTATTGCGTCAAAAAATAATAGTTCAGTTGCAGTGACCATGAAACTTTACATTGTCATCACATAGAAAATTTAATATTTACTAGGAGCTCACACCTACATGCACGAATCAGAAAGATTGAAATACAGGTACTTGACGCGATATCAGAGTTACAACATTCCAATCCATAAACAAGTATGTGAAGTGTTAGATTTACAGTACAGTCACCCCGACATGCCATCAGGGGAATCGTAACGCCGTCTCCCCACATATCTAAAGTAATCCAAGCAACCATAGACGTAGGTGACCCTGGGATATACGTGTATCCCTCTCGGGTCTCTGGGTAAAGGTGTAGCCATGGAGAATGTACTTAGACATGTGTCAATCAAACTCAGGGGTTTCTGGGATCGAAAGGGATTGACACTCAATTAAATCAACTTAAAAGCTAACCCAGGCGACTAGCTATCAATAACTGATCAATATCGAGTGCAATATCAAAGAAAATGTTTAGAAGCCCTCGCGTCTACTGTTTCTGTCACTGGTCGTGGTGACGAGTAGAAGATCCGGGTTACAATTGATCTTCAGTAACCCATGTTTGTCGTAAGAGGCGACTAACGGGATCGGGTGGTCAGGCTCGCTGACTTGGTTGACACATATCATCGTATCCCAATTGCGTAGATCGATGCTCATGCTGTGATCACTGGATTATCTGGTCCAGCTCGATTATTTACAGACCTCCGCAACATACCGGGAATATTGCTGAGTGCGGCGTTAAACAACAAACAAACAAAAATATAGTGACGAGTTAGTGAGTGAGTGTGGTTTTAAGCTCTTTGGATAGTAGTTCAGCACTTGCATGAGGCAGGCCAATGAGGGGAAAATCGCCCACAATGGAGGGAATGTTGCTGACAAATATCGTAACCTGTGCTTATTAAGACATGGAACATACGAGCAGCGGATCCTGCAGCTTGGGGACACACTCCTGCTGCCTGCAGAAACTTGGATGTCAGCTGACCGTACAAGCAACTAAACATATAGACTTGACCCATCAGCTGTCTCCAAGAACCGTGATCACTCAACATGGAACCAGCCGGTGGTTACGATTTACCTGGCCGATTGTCATATGTTACACTGCTTAACGCCTTTTACCTGGCCGATTGTCATATGTTAGTCGGCGTTTTGCCATTTACCTGGCTGATCATCATGTGTTGCTCGGCGTTACGCCATTTACCTGGCTGATCACCATGTGTTGCCCAGCGTCATGCCATTTACCTGGCTGATCAACATCTGTTGCTCGGCGTTACGCCATTTACCTGGCCGATTGTCATGTGTTACTCGGCGTTACGCCAGTTACCTGGCTGATCTTCATATGTTACTCGGCTCTACGCGATTTACCTGGCTGATTACCATGTGTTACTCGGCGTTACGCGATTTACCTGGCTGATCACCATGTGTTACTCGGCGTCATGCCATTTACCTGGCTTATCACCATGTGTTGCTCGGCGTTACATCATTTACCTGGCCGATTGTCATGTGTTACTCGGCGTTACGCAATTACCTGGCTGATTACCATGTGTTGCTCGGCGTCATGTCACCATCATGTTTGCTCGGCGTTACCTGGCTGATTGTCATAATTACGGCGTTACGCAATTACCTGCTGATTACCATGTGCTCGGCGTCATGCCATTTACCTGGCTGACCATCATGTTGCTCGGCGTCATGCCATTTACCTGGCTGACCATCATGTGTTGCTCGGCGTCATGCCATTTACCTGGCTGATTGTCATGTGTTACCGGCGTTACGCGATTTACCTGTGATTACCATGTGTTGCTCGGCGTCATGCCATTTACCTGGCTGACCATCATGTGTTAGCTCATCATGCCATTTTACCTGGCCTGATCACCATGTGTTGCTCGGCGTCATGCCATTTACCTGGCTGACCATCATGTGTTGCTCGGCGTCATGCCATTTACCTGGCTGACCATCATGTGTTGCGTCATGCCATTTACCTGGCTGACCATCATGTGTTACTCGGCGTTACGCCATTTACCTGGCCGATTGTCATGTGTTACTCGGCGTTATGCCATTTACCTGGCTGATTGGCATGTGTTTGCTCGGCGTCATGCCATTTACGCCGATTTACCTGCCGGCGTTACGCGATTTACCTGACTGATTACCATGTGTTGCTCGGCGTCATGCCATTTACCTGGCTGACCATCATGTGTTGCTCGGCGTCATGCCATTTACCTGGCTGATCACCATGTGTTGCTCGGCGTCATGCCATTTACCTGGCTGATCACCATGTGTTGCTCGGCGTTACGCCATTTACCTGGCCGATTGTCATGTGTTACTCGGCGTTACGCCATTTACCTGGCTGATTACCATGTGTTGCTCGGCGTCATGCCATTTACCTGGCTGATTACATCATGTGTTGCTCGGCGTCATGCCATTTACCTGGCTGACCATCATGTGTTGCTCGGCGTCATGCCATTTACCTGGCTGACCATCATGTGTTACTCGGCGTTACGCGATTTACCTGGCTGATCACCATGTGTTGCTCGGCGTTACGCCATTTACCTGGCCGATTGTCATGTGTTACTCGGCGTTACGCGATTTACCTGACTGATTACCATGTGTTGCTCGGCGTCATGCCATTTACCTGGCTGATCACCATGTGTTGCTCGGCGTTACGCGATTTACCTGACTGATTACCATGTGTTGCTCGGCGTCATGCCATTTACCTGGCCGATTGTCATGTGTTACTCGGCGTTACGCCATTTACCTGACTGATTACCGTGTGTTACTCGGCGTCATGCCAGTTACCTGACTGATTACCATGTGTTGCTAGGCGTTACGCGATTTACCTGACTGATCACCATGTGTTACTCGGCGTTACGCCATTTACCTGGCTGATCTTCATGTGTTACTCGGCGTTACGCGATTTACCTGGTTAATTGTCAAGTACAAGCGGGTAACCTCACTTTGAATGTGGCCACGAGAACCAACATGGCTTTTGTGGCCACGACTGAGACAGCCCAGCTCGCTTTATTCCCCATTGTCCAAACTATTCACTTTCATACAACCCCTTCTGTAGAACATGGCCGACAATCCATGTACCGAACGTCGCACAATGACGTAGACTGGCTCAACGCCTTCGTGATAGGATCTCTGTGTGTTGGTCGCCATCTTTATCAAACTCCACACGCAACTGTGTTGTTTGAAAGCACCGCGACCTTCTACAATTAGTAATTTTACTTCAGAATGTTTCTTAACGCTGCGGAAATCTATACTGTACATTGTTGTAACTCTCTGCAAAACCCTACACAAGTATGTATTGGTTTTATGTTGTGTCACTTGGCGCCTCGACGTACCTCCTGGAGACAAACAGGGTAATTACCATCGTTTATTGGTGAAATACTATAGCGCTGGTATATCCAATACTGACGATTAACCTGTTCGAGCGAAGTATTATAGCTTTCAGGCTGTACAACATGGTTTCTTTGTAATTTTATCGGTATTTCTAATGCTTATGTTCATGTCATTTCCTACGATAAAGATTTGAATCCATACCGTCACAAAACTTGTTCTTCAAGATGGCAGAAAATGAAATTGATTCCATCTGGGAGAAACATGTACCTATTTGTCGTACATGATAGTAATCCTTGCTACTAATTATTACTGAATCACATATGTTCATATACATACACTGACGTACAAAAGAAACAGCACACCTATGTTTGGGGATTACTTTCCACCAACGTAAATATTTTGAAATGTGTTTTGAAAGTGAATTACAAGTCACAAACATTGTGTACATGTGGCAGTTGGACTTCTAGCAGTTGGTTGTTTCCCTTAAAATATTTTCCCTGTTCGTTGTTTCCATGTGCCGACGTCTCCCTGTTGGTTATTGAAATGTAATGACTTCTCCCTGTCGGTTGTTTAAATGCAATGACTACTCCCTATTGGTTATTTGAATGTAATGACTTCTCCCTGTTAGTTGCTTAAATGCAATGACTTCTCCCTATTGGTTATTGGAAAGTAATGACTTCTCCCTGTTGGTTGTTATCCTCCGCCGCGCGTTTAGCGCGAAGCGGGAAATATAGTATTAAGCTCCGTCCGTCAGCCCGTCCGTACGTACGTACGAATTGGGATATCTCAAGAACCGTTGACTAAATTCTTTTCATACTTGGTACCTAGGTTCATCACAGTATGCAAAAGGTCCCAGTCAAGTTTTGACCTTCATTTCAAGGTCACAAGGGGACTTAAACGTTTTATCTTTGTCAGCAAGATATCTCAAGAACCGTTCACTGGATCTTCTTCATATTTGGCACCAAGCTTTATCTTGGGCAGGAGCAGGAGCAGGACCTTCACATAGTTTTCAAGGTCACGGCAACACTTTAAAGATTTCAGCGTGTAAACCTGAATGTTAAGCTTGTCAGCGAGATATCGCAAGAACCAATCACTGGATTTTTTCTTATTTGACACCAAGCTTTTCTAGGGAAGCGCAGGGCGCAGTCAATTTTGGTGACCTTCACATCGTTTTCAAGGTTACAGCGACACTTTGAAGATTTCAGCATGTTAACCTGCATGTTAAGCTTGTCAGCGAGACATGTCACATACGATTCACTGTATTTCTTCATATTTGACACAAATCATCATATTGGGAAGATGCAGGTTGACTGGTCATGCTTTTGTTGACATTTAACACCTCCATCTTGAACTACAACCATCACTTTCACTACCTTTTTAAGCTTGATTTGTCACCTTAGTGACAATGCTGGTTTCAGTTGAAATACTTCTCCCTGCTGCTTGTTTCAGCTTAAATACATCTCCCTGTTTCCGTTTCAGTACTTCCCCCTTTTGAATATTTCAGTTTAGTGAGTGTTAAATGATGGTTGTTTCAGTTTAATCATTATTGCTGGCGGTTGCTTCTATGTCATGGCTGTTGTTGTTTCAGACCGACGGGTGCTACCTGTTTATCCTGTTCCCCACCCACGGGGGTAAGAACGTGCAGGAGGCGGGGCAGGACTGTGTGAGGGCCAGTCGGACCGTCGGGATATACGGCGGCAGGTTTGTCGGCATTGCCAGGAAGGTGAGTACTGGCTCAAGGAAACACCTTACTGATCGCGAACACCAGACATCACAACTTCTTAGGATATTTAGCAAACACATACAAACTGTGATGCATTGCTAATGTGTTCAGAAGTTGCATCTGAACTATGCTTGTGCTAGAAATGTTCATGAATATATATACATTGGAAGTAATGCTAAGGCATTTGACTGTATAATTGAAACTAAAAAAGAATAGGCCACGCCCACAAACTGGCTAGTTTTTTCCAGACTGGCTAATGAAAGAGCGAGTGTTTTGGCAGTATTGAACCACCAACACTATTCAGCTGGATACAATCATTTGGGTCAAGAGTGAACGTAAATTCACCCTCATATGATGTTTAAGAGAGTACCCTGCTTTCCACTCGAGCTGATCTGTCCATGATACTAACGACGTGTTTTGTTCTGTTGTAAGGTGTTCAGTTATGGCTACGAGTCGTCGATGGATGAAGGCTGCATCGTTTTCTACTTCCCGTCACGTGATGCCGCAGACAAGTTCTTCCGGTCCGACGCCAAGTTCAAGCAGCCCGACTTCCCCCAGGGTGCCGGTCACTGCCAGGCGTGGGTGGTGGACCGCCATTACACCCCAGACAACGAAGGAGGTGGGCTGGCAATATGCTGCAATAATAGATTCACCTTTAATCTTATAAGTGGACCCATCATTGATTACCCAGTGTGCTTATTTCAGTTCTTGTATGAGTGAGTGAGTTTAGTTTTATGCCGCAATCAGCAATATTCCAACTATATGGCGGCGGTCTGTAAATAATCGAGTCTGGACCAGATAATCCAGTGATCAACAGCATGAACATCGATCTACGCAATTGGGATACAATGACATGTATCACCGAAGTCAGCGAGTCTGACCACCCGATCCCGTTAGTAGCCTCTTACGACAAGCATGGGTTACTGAAGACCAATTCTAACCCGGACCTTCACGGGTAGTTATTGTATGATAAATACCCCGGCCCTATTACGCGAATAGCTGGAAAATTGCTGATGCGGCATAGAGCAATAATCATTCATTCATTCATTCCCATTCCAGGGGCGGATACAGCTTTTTGAGAAAGGGGGGGTGCACACTATTGAGAAAGGAGGGGTGCACACTTCATTTTCACGAGTTTCAATGGTCATTTAATAAAGTTTCAGGACAAAAGGGGATGCGCGCAACCCTGCACCGCACCCCCACCCCCACCCCACCCCTTCTGGATCCGCCTATGCATTCTCAAACGTGGCTCTTTTGGGGACGTTACCGTATCCATATTACCAATCAGGTATTTTCCACCTGTTTGTTTGTGGAATATGATCGACGTCAAGTCGTGTCACTCGATTCATGACAAAGCTGTGAGAGGGTGTAGGGTTGTGTTGTACTAGAAATAACACTTAACGTAGCGGACATTACTGGACGCAGCTGCCCGTGCTCCACTAACCAACCCTGAAGATACGAGGTAGTGTTTGCACTTCAATGTGTTCCAACAGATAAATATTATATCGTCAACATGTATGTATACTGGTGCTGTATGCTCTACAACCGAGGTCAGATCAGCTGAGGTCTCACCTCAGGCAAGTGAGTGGAGAAATTACATAAACTGTTAAATCGGCAAAGGTGTGCTGAGAAAACAGCACTGACTTTTTGTCTGTTATGTAGTCTGTCACACAGACCCTGAGACAAATAGACCCACTGCAGATCTAGTTGACCTCTTGCAAGTCAAGATGACCTCAGTTTTTATTATATTTTATCAACACAACTTAGAAACCAGTTTTTTCTGTAAAATATGTTCATTTCAGAGAGACCAGGTGTTTAATCAGCTAGTTATATTGACATACCTGTTTCAGACGATGTGAGGTTAGGTACCGTTCATAATTTATGGCTAGGGTGATGATAATTTATATGGAGAAGCATGTACAATGTGAATGCCCCCCCTCCTACAATTTATACACAAAGAAAGTGACTTCCCTTCCCCTCCTGCATATCCTGCACAAAATCAATGACACCCCCCTAGTACGTGCACAAAATTTATGACCCCCTACCACCCCAGAACAAAATGGGTGACCCACCCCAGCCTTAACATCATCATCACGAACCCCAACCCCAACCCCACCCTCTCTCCACCTACATAACCCCCACCCCAGCCATAAATTATGAACGGTTCCTAAGGATACCTGATTATCGGTACTATCGTCATACATTGGCAGTATTCGGGAACTACCGATGTTTCCCTTGCAGCACTGAACACATTCATGATCTCGGAGATCCGACTGAAGGACCCCGACTCCTACATGCACTACAAACACAACTTTGCCACGCCTTTCGCCGACCTCCTCCAGAAGTACCACTCCCAGCCCTACGTCGTCCAGACCCCCAGCGTCATGGGCATCCGGCGCTTCTACAAGGACCCCAACCACATCGTCACCGTCCACCTGTTCCGGAGCCCCCTCAACCTGGAGGATGTCATGAATGATGGTAGGTGTTATACTGGCGTATTTAATGAATGAGTGAGTGAGTTTTACGCCGCTCTCAGCAATATTCCAGCTATATGTCGGCAGTCTGTAAATAATCGAGTCTGGACCAGACAATATAGTGATCAACAGCATCAGCATCGATCTATGCAATTGGCAACCAAGTCAGCAAGTCTGACCACCCGATCCCGTTAGTCGCCTATTATGACAAGCATGGGTTACTGAAGACCAATTCTAACCCGGCGTCTTGAATGAAGATGTGACGATGATATCATAAATGATGATAGGTGGTTATACTGGCGTATTTAATGAATGGTACACCAGGATGCTTGCTATTACTGCTGAAGTGTGAAAGGAAACCCCTTCACCACGAGGATATAATGAGCCTGCTGTGCTAGGCGGAACCCTTGAACCACGAGGATGTGTAATTACTTTTCTGAGGTATATAACCGAAACCTTGAACGACAAAGATGTGATTTGTCATTACCCTGACATTTGAACCACGGGGATGTCATTGATTAAGTCACACCCCTGATGAGATGTAATCAACTGTATAAAGCCATCGCTTCTTATCCCTTCATCGGCACTGTGCCCTTATGTCCCATGTTTGAAATGCAAACAAACAACTGAAATCACGTGTTGTGAAACATGGCGGCAATGTACCGACTGTTGTTCAAAGTGGAGGTATCCCCCACCCATCACCAACAGGTTATTGTTTTGAACAAAACTCAACCATCGTCAGTGGCATGGTCCTTTTACGGCGCATCAGGCCTTGCTCATTTGTGACTGAGGAGATGGGAATACCGGTCAGTGATTGCATTGCCTCTGGTCAGTACAGTGAGTGGAGTGGGCAGTATATAGAGGATATTATACGACCTTCCGTGTAATAACATTTTTATCAAACGACTTAATGATTTGGTATCAAAAGGGCGAAAGCGATTTTGATACTAAATGTTTCACGAGTTTAATAAGAATGGTATTTCACGGAAGCCACTTTAGTGTTCTGTTTATTACTCTCCATCATTAATATTGATAGAAACTGCCTACAGTGTGATGACTCTCGGCTTTCCGCAAGTAAGCAAGGTCATTATGACAGAGGTATTAGCTTTGTGACGTCATAACGTAAACCATGTATCGCGTCATGCTTCTAGCGGTATCACACCAGTGTATTATCGCCGTACAAATAATACACTGCAGTATCTTCCACGGGCGAATAATATTCCAGTAATATCAGCGTGTGTTGGCCAGAAGAAGTGAGACAGGAATCAGATGTTACCTGCCTGGTGAAATCCAGGAGTATGTGCATATTGTGCATGGTGCTGACAGGACTGGACGCCAATCAAGGTGCAGCTGGGGTTTCATCATAGTCGTGAATAGCATCCTGGCCGTGTAAGGGCCGCAACTCTGCCTGGCGATCCACCAGGGCTCTTCAGGAGAACACGTCTGCAGCTGTGAAACCAGGCAAACGGCTTTGGAGCATTTTGTAAATGAATCATTACCTTGAATTGTCTAAATCTATTCTTTTGTCGAGGCGGTGGGGTAGCCTAGTGGTTAAAGCGTTCGTGACGCCGAAGACCCTGGTTCGATTCCATACATGGGTACAATGTGTGAAGGGCATTTTAGTGTCCCCCGCCGTGATATTTTGCTGGAGTATTGCTAAAAGCGGCGTAAAACTAAACTCGCTCACTATTCTTTTGTCTTTACAGATATGTACCAGAACCTAAGAAAAACTCACAATTCTCTGGCTTACGAAATGACGACAGTTTTCACAATCGACCCGAGAGCCTGCCCATAGCCTTGGTCACACCCCTGGCGTGTGGAGACGACTACAGTGAATGGACACACGTCTGACTGCCTGTATTTGTTATTTAATGTTAATGTGTATGTTTGAGATGCTACACGTGCATCATTCACCAGACTGTTTCGGCGTTGGGTGGTCAAAGAGAGGCGAAGGTCTGGTCTGATGGTTGCCGTGGCCCATCACCTAAAACAACGTTTGCCTTTCCATGCTTATAATAATTATCAATCTCGACTGATTGTTCTCATTGCTCTAGTGTTTGAGTGTACACACGATGGGGGTAGCCTAGTGGTTAAAGCATTCGCTCGTCAAGCTGAAGACCCGGGTTTGATTCCCTACATGGGTACAATGTATGAAGCCCATAAACGTCGCGATATTGCTGGAATATTGCTAAAAGCGGCGTAAAACCAAACTCACTCACTCACATACGGCATCATTACAATGTTGGCACCTCTGCTCAGTGAGTCACCTTTTACAGGTCGCTTCAGTCACCAAATGTGATCGGGCAGACTACCCTGTACAGGTGGAAAGATAATGATGTACAGATGTAGTCGTGGACCTTTAGGCTGTCTACTGTCGTAATGGGGAATAGTTCGATCATAAGGTTATGTGTGTATATTCTTCTGTTCAACTGGACGATCTTAGCTCTATAAGTATGTGCTAAGGTTATTACATATCTATTTAAACAGTGTATACTAATCACTTATTGAAAGGGACATAAATATGACACACTATTTACATACTACATATACAAATATAATTCAGTTTGGGTATGTAACAGAATAGAGGAAGAATATGTATCGAGCGTTGAGTAGCACATGTGAAGTGTATATGTGGCGGTTGGAGAACAGCACTATTTTAACTGATTCCCTTTAAATTTATATCATTTTACTTTCGCGATTTAATATGTTGGCATATGTGTCCCTGAATCGCAAATATATGAGAAACTTTACTCGAGTCCTATTTAAGTTTTCCAGAACTTATAGGACGGCTAGAACCAATCTGTTGAGATAGACCTAATTTGGGTACTTCATAACTTCATCCTTACTCTACGCAGCTTATCTTATTCACGATTGTCCTCGCTGGTCGTCCACAGGAACTAGCTGAACTACAGGCGGTACAACAGAGCTACAACAATGCCTTGGTGATATGTTAGATGTGCTATCTGAGAAGACTGTTTCGTACTTTAAAACAAAAAGTTGATATATTCATAATTACCTTTGAATTATTCAGAAATAGACTTGGTTTAATCCGAACATTAGTTTCCAGGATCTGCAGGTCGGGGTTCGAATCCCGCTTCTCCTCGATTATGACCCCACGCCTGAATTCGTGGGTCCAAAAACGACGTGAACGTCTCTGTAACGCTGTACCCTCCCATGTTGCACGCGTTGAAGTACGGTTTGGCCTAACTCACTCACTCAACCTAGTATCCAGTCACATATCGGTATATTTAGTTCAGGGATAGTAGACAAGCATTCAGAACTTCATCTCGAGGACGACGTTGTGGTGAACATCCATATACATGTACATCCAAGGTCAGATAACTCCGTCAACCAGGTTTGTGTGTATCTAACTGCTATGTAAATCTATCTTGCATCGAGGTCGTCTTTCTCATGCTTGAATTTGTTTTTTTGCAGTAAGACTATAGTCTCTTTTCCAGTTTACTTTTCATTGTTATTTATTTACAGTACCTATAGGAAACATCAAGCCACCCTGTGATATATGTAAATACTGAGAAATAAAGTCCGTCCATTTTGTTAATTTTGTTTGTAATTTTGTTTCCAATCTCAATCGGAAGGTGACACTCCGAACTACAAGAATGGATTATGCTCTTGGAACTGTGAAATTTGTCTAAATCGGATGCCGGTAAATGAGATCTAGTCTTAATTAACGTTAGTTATCATCATATATAACCAACCGAATGTTAGGTCCTATGTGAACCATGGAATGTTTCTACCAAAGATAAATGGCGAAAGATGGTGTTTGATACAATTCACGGTTATGAGGAGCAACTATGGCTCAACAAGGTTTCCATAAACGCCGGTATGTTTCGGTATTGGAAACTCCACTGTAACCTCACATATCATATTCTATGGGATATCATATTTCTTTATCCACAACACAGATCAATGCTGCAATTTTGTATTCGTATATCATCCCGTAATATTGTTTCTAAAACATGTACACTCTGTGACAAACATGCGTATGATTACGATTGTCATGTGCTATTGCACTTTGAGAAACTTCTGCAAAGCAGAAACAGATTTTTTTCTTATCTAATAGATCACCTAGATGTTGAAAGCTATGTCAAATTTGAAATGCTGGACGAACACGACATGTTGTCGTTCCTGTTTGGAGGTGATACTTACACGATTGAACGTATGGAGACATTATAATCACATTTGCATCGTTTGTGTATTCCATCAGACAACCTTTGTTGCTTTGTTATGATTGATATGTTTCAATTATAACTCAATTTACTTGTACATATGTATATTGTTTTTTTATAGTCCATGCTCGATTGTAAATGAATCATAATGTATATCTTCGGAATAACATCTGGAGGAAATAATATCTCTCTCTCTCTCTCTCTCTCTCTCTCTCTCTCTCTCTCTCTCTCTCTCTCTCTCTCTCTCAATGTATGGATGGGGAAATACAGAACATCGTTAATATCAACCTTCCAACCTTTGTCAGTCTAAATAATCACCCCATCGATGTTTGGACCACAATCTAAACTGTCGTGTAACTGTCGTGTAACACACGTTATCAAAATGTTGTTAAAATGAGACATACTCAACGCAACTATGATGTCTGTCAAATACCTCGATATCACAATAGAATAATCCTATAATAGCTATACCTAACTACCACCTCAGGAGATGGACGTTGTTTGTTGTAAAGACGCCGTCGAAAGAGCAGGGAAGCGCTTAGTGATGGAAGCGGGCGTAAAATACAGAACGTATAGTCAGATGCTTGGTGGGCATTTAGAAGTTGGGAGGTAACACAACAACGTATGGTATGGATTTACAACTTCTTTAATATTTACAACGCGACGTTTCTGGGCTACTTCTTGCACCTGATGAAGGGGCAAGAAATAGTCCAGAAACGTCGCGTTGTAAATATTAAAGAAGTTGTAAATCCATACCATACGTTGTTGAGAACGTATAGCGCACAGCTGTGTCATAAGAGTTTGGCTAAGTACCGTCCTGAAGAACGTTCTGACCTTCACATGAGGCCGGGTAACTCTGAGTGAACATATTTGTTATTACACTGCATTTAAATCGATGAAGCTTTGACAGAGAAACTTCATCACTGAATGTTTAGAACACTGTTGTTAAATTTATACAACAGTTAATCAACTAGTGAATCATGATTACGAAACTACAAGTTAATGTACATGGTAACATATATATGGTGACTCGGAAAGATTGTTTCCCTTGATACTAACTGGCCCGTCCGGTGTGGTACTACACGTCTAACCCGTTCTTATAACGAGGAAACCACATTAGCTTGGTGTTTTCTTCAAGTAAGTATGCTATGGATCACATGATGTCTATGTATGGTATGCTATAATACTTTCAATAAATATTTTGAATATTTAAAAGAGGAACTTTTTAATTTTAGAAACATGTATTTTTGATTGACGTGGGATTCCCGAAAGACTTGCTGTTATCACAGAAACACTTCCAACACACATGAAATACCCAAGTCAAGAATGTGATACAATTATGAACATTTAAGTTGAGTTTTTCTCACTATGATCGTTCGTATTATGTATATTTTTTGCCAAGACATCAAGGTGAGCGTTTAGTCCACAGGGTTCGAATCACTGATTGGATAATAATTTTTTTAAATAAAATCTAGATGTTTGCAACCGTATATTGTTTTAATATGTTATAAGTAACTTTTAGTTCAAATTTGAACGAAATCGGTGATTAGCGGGAGAATTTTCTAAAACATTCTTCACTGATTTCGTTCAAATTTGAAATATAAGTTACTCATAACATATAAAAACAATATACGGTTGCAAATATCTAGAGTTTTATTTTTAAAAATTATTGTCCAAACAGTGATTCGAACCCATGTGGTTAAGTCAGTGACTCCTAGAATACCTGTGTGGTAGCTGTGGAGTTCTTAAACCGAATTACAAAAAAGACACACTTTATGAGTAAGTGAGTGAGCTGAACAATATGAATATTTGAAGTTAATCTGTTGTGATACGTAGTAAATACAAGCGGGACAGGCATACTGTACAATACAGTATGATTATGTAAGCGAGTGAGTGAGTGAGTTTAGTTTTACGCCACACTCAGCAATATTCCAGCTATATGGCGGCGGTCTGTAAATAATAGAGTCTGGACCAGACAATCCAGTGATCAACAGCATGAGCATCGATCTGCGCAATTGGGAACCGATAACATGTGTCAACCAAGTCAGCGAGGCTGACCACCCGATCCCGTTAGTCGCCTCTTACGACAAGCATAGTCGCCTTTTGTGGCAATCATGAGTTGCTGAAGACCTATTCTACCCCGGATGTTCACGGGTTGACAAACTTTATGGATAACAACTTCTTTATAACGAGAGTACGACGTTTCGATACAGATTCTTGTACCGTTGTCAAGCAGAATCTGCATCGAAACGTCGCACTCTCGTAATAAAGAAGTTGTTATCCATAAAGTTTGTCAACCCGTGAAGATCCGAGCTTCTAAAATGTCACTCAAAAGAATTGATCCGCCTTAAAGAGGGTTGCGTTCTTTTCCGCCGCGTGTTAATGTGGCCCGTATTTTGGGTGGCGGGGGGGATTTGCTTTTGTTGTTTTGTTTTAAAAAATGGAGGGTTATATAAGTGCTGAACAGAAGTTAAGTATACAGCTGCACTCCATGTTTTCGTAAGAGCAAACTATGTAAACAGCGGTGTAAGGTGTACGACTGTCGCCGGGCGGATCATGTAATACACAACTACACAAAATCATTTTCTACAGAGATTTGTCATAGGGGCCCTACTGCACTAGAACAAGGAGATTGTAGTTTTCGCGTCCGATTGCATGATCGATTCAGCAAGTTTGCAACACAAATATACATAACACTCTATATATGGCATGCCGGGTAAAATGCGTCCCATGCATCCAGCCTCTGATTCCCCCAATGAAGACATACGATCTACAACAGGTTTTCAGCCACCCATGTTTATCGTAAGTGGAAGCTAATGGGATAGATTGGCAATGTCTTGTTATCGTATCCCGTTTAAATATATCGGTGCTCTTGACGTCAATCACTGGACTATCTGGTCCAGACTCGAGTTGTTTCAAACCGTCGCCATATTGCTGGAAATTGCTGAATGTGGCGTTAAGGAAGAACTAAACAGTTAAGTAGATCGATACTCTTGACGTCAGTCACTGGATTGTCTGATCCATGCTGGAATATTGACAAGCCGACGCCAAACAGCTGGCAAATTATTGACTGTCCTTAAACAATACTCGGCGTTCACACACGGTATAGTATAGGACAAAACATGTCGACCTTCAGGAATACCTCCATGGGTTCTACTTGGCTGGGTTTGCTGTGTCAATACGAGGCGATCTACGGAAGGGGTAAATTGGGTGAAATTACTACATATCCCGTTACAGTACTAACAGACAGTGCTATCTACGGGGCCATTAGAACGCCGAAATTGACAAAATTATTCATTTCTTTGGCTGAGTGATTCATAAACTGAAGGGTTTGGTTTACTCGAAGAATGCCGACACGAACAACCTGAGTGTACACAGGAAAGCGACACGGGCAAAGCTGTGTGATGATTATCTTTAATAAGAGTGGATTACAGGGGCCCGGCCGATAACGCCGACCGTTATAACCCAGTACTCTATCAGGGTAAACCTGGTAATTTGCCGCGTTATGCTCCATTTTAAACAGGGGAAGGGGAGGGGACTGTCAAGACTTCAGTCCCCGCGGTGTGACTTACAGCAGACATATTACCTGAGGTTTTTATTGTTGTCTGAATTTTGCACGGGGCCATTGTCAACGTGGACGTGACGGAATTTGTAGAGGACGCCATTGCTTAGGACAAACTCCTTAGACTGTTTGAATCTAGCACATCGAGCGGCGAGTGCCTGTCTTCACTACCTCCATTGTTAGGTGTAAAGAAACACGCTAGATAACGCCGGAATGCATGCAGGCATATTTGTTTAAAAAACAAATTTGCACTCACTTGAAAATGTAAACCTTTTAAGTATGTGGCAGATCCATCTATTCTGCCGAATCACTTTTGCACCACTCTGAACCCCTTTTAACCCCTCTTGTACGTCCTATATCCACCCACTCAACACGCACATACTAAAAAACACCATCCATGCTTATCTCGGTTTCCCCCAGTGTACACGTAGGACGGTGACGCTGTTGACAGTACATATGCTGTTTAGGGAATACTGCTTTTCACTTAACCTGCCAGGCTGAATTTAGGCGAGGTGAGTATGGTCCTCAAAAGGACATTTATATATGAGACTCAATACATATTTTACACAGTTGGTATCTTCCTTAGATGCAAATTCTGTTCGCCAAATTGTATGCATGTCATGTGTCCCTGTTAACGCTATGGCCACCGCCATCAACTACCAATACTGCCTCGGACTAGCATCCTTCTACACAGCACACCACTCATCCAACATATACTGCTTGTCGACGAACCAAATTCTACAGAAACATATCGCATGCGACTTATGTCTGTCCGACTACTCGAACGTGTGTAAACTTCCCCGACGTTTC